CTTGCAACCCTAAACCCTAAACCTTAAACCCTAAACTAAACCCTAGGCCCTAAATCCTCTAAGAAACTCTGTATTCCGAGGCTCGGGTGGCTGGTCCTTCGCGAGCCTGGGCTGCTGTTAAGGGCCTTAAAACGAATTTAACAGGTACCACATAGGTTACATAGGGTTTAGGGTTTAGGATTTAAGGTTTAGGGTTTAGGGTTCAGGGTAAGAAACTAGAAATGAAGTTACCATGATATGGGTACATGGTAAGTAATAGGGTCTCCTTACTATTGTCACTTAATGCAAATTTCTTAAACCTTAAACCCCAAACCCTAAACCCTAAACCCCAAACCCTAAACCCTAAACCCTAAACCCCAAACCCTAAACCCTAAACCCTAAACAACAGCCCAGGAGCTGGTAGGTCCTGTGACCTTTGCCATCCTGTTTGGCATCATCGCGGGAGTTATGGCGGGGCTCTTACTTGGCCTTTGGTTTAGGGTTTAGGGTTTAGGGTTTAGGGAATGAAGGAATGGCAAAGAACATGGAAAATACTATAGTGTTTAGGGTTTAGGGTTTAGGGTGGGAAGGAAGGAATGGAAAAGAACATGGAAAATATTATAATGCGTTATACAGGGACTGCTATAAGAAGCCATTCCTTCATTCCTAGCTAACCAAAGGTAAGTTACTCCTTCGTGGGGTGAAGAGGGGTTTAGAGTTCATGGGTGGGGCGGAATGGTTTAGGGTCGAAGGAAGGGGTCTAGGGTTGAGGAGTTTAGGGCGGAGGTTGAGGGTTTGAGGGGTTGAGGGTTCGGGGCTAAGTGCTTCGAACTTTGAACTTTGTTTCGATTTAGTGTATGCAGTTGAGGGGTTGTAGGGATGGGACTTTGTCAAGAGCTCAGGGTTCGGGATCCAGGCTTCGCGTCCTTGAGTGGGCGGCATCTATGGGGTTCCACAAAAATGTCAACTACGACCGAACAGCGTCAGTCTTTTGGACCTACACCCTGCACCCCTAAACCCTAAATCCTAAACCCTAAACCCCTACACCATAAACCCTAAACCCTAAACCCTACACCCCTAAACCCTAAACCCCTTAACCATAAACCCTAAACCCCTAAACCATGCAGCTTAGATTGCTTCGTGAAAGGTGAGCCGTTCGTTAGAAACCCAAAAGCTGACTCTGCACTCCCAAAACCCGGAACCATAAACCGTCTCTACCTAGATATATGGTGGGTTTAGGATTTAGGGCTTAGGGTTTAGGATTTAGGGTTCAGGGTTTAGGGTATAGCCCCCCTTAAGTAGATAGAATATGAATTTGGGTATACTATAACAAGATCCCCACATTCCCCATATTATATCTACTTAAGGGGGACTGTAGGTTTAGGGTTTAGGGTTCATGGTTTGGGCACATACAACTTGGGGGCTTCCCCAAAGTAAGGGTACCATTTTGGGGGTCACTACAAGAGGAATAATGACTGTAGTATTTTGGAGTCTGTATTCGGGTCGCCTTATTTGTGAAAAACTACCATATAACCATATATATATATATAGACTTACATTTTTTCACTTTAAGAAGGCCCCAAACCCTCAACCCGAAACCTCTAAACCCCTAAGTGTTACTCGCTTGTTGCTCGTTTGTCCCTCCAGGGGTCCCGGGGGTGTCTGGGAAGGCTTTGGCTCTGTAACGCTCTGGGAGGCTATGGGAGTTCTGGGAGGCTAAAGGGTTTAGGGCTTAGGGTCTAGGGTTTAGGGTTTAGGGTTTAGGCGACCATTGGGAGGCTTTGGGAGGATTCTGTTGGGGGCTTTTGGGGCCGCACTCAGAAAAGCAGTCAGAAATTAGATCCGTTTTCAGGCGAAGTTGGTACAAAAGACGCTGGCTTTCGGGACTTCTCGAATTGCCAGGAATCTGGATCAAGGAGACCCACAGCGAGTGGAAGTTGAGAAGAACTGGAAGTTGGGTCTGTTTTCCCTGAATACCATTGCAGAAAATACTCCCTCATTACATAGGGATCCAGGAACCTTGAACTGGGAGGAAGGTCAGAGAGGCCGAAGGTGGGCACATCAAATTCAGCTGCGGTCCTGAACACCGGCGAGCAATCTTTAATGAGTAGAAAAATTGGGACATAAGGCGCGCACGACGGACGCATGCAGCAAACGAAGGAAGAACATGTGTATAGGGATGTATGGGGATATATAGGGATGGAATAGAGGATTTAGGGTTCAGGGTCCAAGTCCCAAAAATTAGGTCCCGTTGAAGTGGGATACATGGGTTTAGGGCATAGGGTTTAGGAATTGGGCATATAGGGACGGATGTATGGAGATATATAGGGATATGTTGGGCTTATGGGCCCAAGTACCCAATATTTAGGTACTTGGGTTTAGGGTAATAGTAGTCATAGTACAGGTTTGGGGTAGGTATATGATTATTAGGTACTTGCACCACTAGGGAAAGACTGCAGCCATGTTAAGTGGTTTCCTGGATGTGCGGATTTAAGGAACTATGATGCAGGGTTTACAGCTTAAGATGCAGAATTTCAGGTCCGTAGGAGTTAGGGTTTAGCAGGTTCCATACGGATCCCTCAGCCCTAAACTCTGAACACTAAAGCCTAAACTCTAAAGCCTAAACTCTAAAGCCTAAACTCTAAACCCTAAACTCTATACCGCAAACCCTAAACCGTGGGGATCCGCATCTTCTTACAAAGGTGCGGACGAACCTCGAGCCTGGACCATGCAGGCTCTGAACCCTAAACCTCTGAACCCGAAACCAGCCCTGAAGCCCTAATTCAACCCCCTACATCTTAGCCCTGAACCCTATGAACCTCAAACCTTGAGTCCCTAAACCCTAAACCCCAATCCCTGAACCACCAACAGCCTATACGCTTCAAAACCTGAACCCCTCATCTGTCAGCTTCCCTGAAGCCCCAAGCCCCGAACTTCAAACCCCTGCAGATCCATATCTCCTTCAAGAAGCTCCTCCCCACCGCGCTGAAGTATGACCCTGAGATCCCTGGCACCACTTTAGTTGTGTAGGGTTTAGGGTTTAGGCTACGGGTGTGCTGAAATAATTGCATTGTTGCGGGCTAGAAAGGGTTTAGGGCTTAGGGAAGCAAAGGACAGATTCAATCGGGTTTGGCAGTAGCTGGGCAAGCTGTGACGATCTCGCCCGATACATCAAGCCAGAGATCCTAAGCCCTCAACTCTAGCATTTGAGCTACATTTTCAGCAATGAGCACGCTATACTTTACATCAAACCAAAGATCCTAAGCCCCAAGCCCTTAAACCCGTTAAACCCTCTAAACCCTAACCCTCAACCCTAAGCCCGCTGAGCCCCCAAAGCCTAGTATTGTGTGTGGTACTTTTCGCAAGACATGAGTGTTGTGTTGTATAACTCTAAGGAAATATTGAAAATATTTTTAATATAGGTCTGTTGACACTACACAAAACCTAAACCCCAACCCGACCTGGAAAGTATATAGACCATAATTGTGAGCTACTGGCTTTCCAGGGAAGTCCTGAACCTCAAGCCCCAGACTCAAACTGGGGCTCCTCCAAAAGGGTTTAGGGGCCAGTGTTTAGGGTTTAGGCAGTAGTTTGTTTAGGGTTTCGGGTTCAGGGGCTTCTCAGGAATCAGAAAGGACCCTGACCCCCTTTAGGGCGCAGGGACTGCTGCCAAAAGTGTGGGCCCCAAGTGTGGCCAGTTAATCCCGCAATCCCTAGAACTAGTATAATCGTATACCCTAAGCCCTGAAAGGCCCCTACACTCCTCATGCACAGGCTAAAGCTCAGGGTTTCGGGCTTAGGGTGTAGGGTTTAGGGTTTCGGAAGCACATCCTTCAGACCTTTGATTATGGGGCCACGGAGAACTCAAGCTTCGGGTGGGCGATGATTCTGCCCTGGGCTGCTACCCCTCAGCCCTGAACTCTAAGCCCTAAGCCCCTACTGGCATAAATTACTTACGGTTTAATAGCAATTTCCCCTCAGATAATGAAGTATAGCCCAGAAAACTGTAGGTACTTCGGGTTACAGGTAAGCCCTATAGGTGGAGGCTCCTGAGGCTTTCTAAGTACTTGCGCTGGCGTTGCCGCGCTACCAGAAATTGAGCTCCCGAAGTCAGGCCACTGTGACGGATTATGAGCAGGGCGCGAAGCGGGTTTAGGGTTTAGGGTTAAAGCCTTAGACCCTAAACCCCTAAGCCCTAGGGTTTAGGAACTGAGCTCGGCAACCTGATTGGAACCTCCAATGTTGTTTGTTTTGGGCAGGGTGAGGAAGTTTGTTCGGCAGTTTCCCTACATAGGGGGACCCCCTATAGACCCCACAAATCTGTAATCTTTATTATAGGGACCTGCTAAAAGGTAGCCCTAGTTTTGGACAAAAAAAATCAACACCCGAAATGGTAGTACATTGGAAGCCCTAGGTAAGCCCTACACTCGGTCACGTAAGCCCAAACGCGAGATCCTTATTAGGAATCGCTACACGGCCTACTCCTTCTTTGCCGGAATGGCAGTGATGGCAGCATCGCTCGTTGCCTTCCAATATTAATACCAGGACACGGGGACGGTCTTGGGGTTTAGGTTTAGGCCTTCGGGTTTAAAAAGGGCGGGCCGCAAGGGAACCCCAAACCCTGAACCCTGAGCCCCTAAACCCCAAAAACCTAAACCCTAAACCCCCTAAACCCCCTAAACCCCCTAACCCTAATCCCTAACCCTAATCCCTAATCCTAAAACCCTAAACCCATATACAGGGTCACAGGGAGATTATCTTGTACGCTTTCCCGGAGCCCTCCAGGATGCCTCGATGATTTTCTTGAACTCCCTTTTGGGGTTTAGGGTTTGGGGTTGGGGGTTTAGGGTTTTAGAAGGTTTTAGCGTGTTTTAGAGGGTTTTAGGGTTTCAGCTTGTAAGGCTTAGGGATTAGTGAGAAACCCTAAGCTACAAACAGCTGTGCCCGGCCTTGCTGTCGCGGGCAGCACACGTTTTCCTCGAAGCCAAATGCCTGTTGCGGGTCACCTTGCGGCAGGTAAACTACGGGGGTGCTTCGGGAAGACCAGTTTCCTTGATGGTAAACTCCAAAGCGGAAGGAACAGACTGATTCTCACCTTTATGCTTCACACTGGTCTTCCACTCTTTCACCAGCTTCAAGCTGGTTGAAGACTCTTCCCCCAAGTCTATGGGAACGAAAAGCTTCCCATGGAAAAACTTCCACCACCTTCCTGGGTCTTGTGGTTTGGTTAGCACATCTGCCAGCTGAAAGGCACTAGCAAGCCAGCCCAGCGGGAGTTTACTCCCCCACTGCTCAGCCTTCAAAGCTTGTCGAAGGGCAGCTAGATCTACAGCAAGCCTACGGTCCGAAGGCACTCTGGGAACTCCTTGTTTATGTACATGATCGTACAAAGAACGGCTGTCGCTCAGGCAAAGAAGAGGAACTCGGCTGTCCTCCACCTTGATGAGCTCTCCAGCCACCAGGGTCTCAAACAGGGCACGAACATGTTGAGCGGCCTCCACCCCTTCCACGCAGGCTTGCGTCTCTGCCGAGAACGTGCTTCGGCATACTCGTTGTCCAGCCTTGGACTTCCAATCCAGAACGCTGAAGCAGCCTCCCTTCCCAGTCACGCATCCTTTGTCAGCGAACACTATGAGCTCCCCAAGCTGAGAGGCAACTTTGGAGTTCTGTCTCCTCGCCTTTCTCGCACGCTTGTCGACAAACGGCCCCTCATGCTGAAGCCCCGCCAACTTGTCTTCCTCGGTAAGCTGGAAGCCCTCCTCGTCGTGCTCAGCGTCATGAGCATTTGCCCATCCAGCGTCGTGATACACGATGACGATGAGCTGGTCCGCGGGGATAGGCTTGAAGCGAAGCCCTTCTTCTCTGTAGTCGTAGGCCTTCTTGGAGACGAGGTTGGTGAACTTCAAGTCGGCGATGGTCGGCTGCTTCTGGACCTGCTGGGCCATGCTCACTGAACATGTGAGATCTGGGCGTGATTGCGCTGACAACCACGACAGCGCACCGACCAGGCTGCGATTGTCTGCCGCGAGGTCTGGCCCGGCCGATCTCGGATCCGAGATAGTTAAAGAGCTCGCTTTCCCACTCTCCGATGGGGAAGGCTTGGCCCAGCGCATCCTCGATGAGCTTGGAGACGGAAGTGCTGGCGATGACCAGGAGGTCGTCGACATGTGTCCCGACGTACCCTTTTGGCTTGCCGACGAACTTTCCTTCGTAGTACTCTTTGAGGACAAAGATGCAAGGATCGAGGGGACACTGCTCGAACCGGTGGCACCGTCCATTCGCCTCGATGTTCACTTTGCCGATCCCCTCCTGGAGGTCTAGCCACCACTCTCTGGGACTGGTGGCTAAGCCGAAGATATTCTTCTTGACCCGGACCAACTGTCCCGGCTTCATACCGGGAAACCCGGTAGGCGGCTGGTGGATGAACAACTCTTGCTCCCGGCTGAGGTAGCTCCCTGTCAAAAAGGCACACTGGATGTCTCCAGCAGACACCCTCCACGGATCGGGTTCTCGAAGCCCATTTGCCAAAAGTTGCAGCAAGCAAAGGAGACCAGACCTCGACAAAGTCGGTGCGTCCGTAGCCAGGCGCCCCGAAGCTAAATCCGGGTCGGTATGCCCGGCTATAACAAGGCGCGACTTGCAGCGCCACTCTGCTTGCCCCTCCAGCCTTCTCCTGGACCAATTTTTGTCTTTATACGCCCATCTAGAGCGCAGCGCCGGGTCTTTGGAGATGTTGTTCTTGACAAAGTCGGTGGCCGCATCATCGAGGGGCTCCAAAGCATCAAAGTGGAGATGCTCTCGCCACTGCTTCTCCTCGGCCTCACGGAACTTCTGCTGGAACTGGGGTGGTATCTCGTCCCACCTCAACTCCTTCTCCTGTCTTTTCTCCAGCCCACCTTGCGGAGGCGTTTTGCGCTTCATCCTGGAAGCTGGCCATCCTCTTTTCTGGTCGCCTTCCTCCTTGTTGTCGCGGCCCTCGAAGTCATCCCTCGTGCTGTTGTCAGCCGGCTCAAAGTCCACGTCTCCCTCCTCGTCGTAGACGTCCTCGCCCGGCGCCTTCTCGGTGTCCTCGTTGTCGCCGGCGTTGTCGGACGGTGAGTATAGAGGGTGCCGACGTCGCCGAGGTCGTCGGCGTCGTGCTCCTCCTCATCGCTGTAGACCTCCTTATCGTCGAAGTCGTTGTTGAGGAGTCGCTCCAGCTCTCGCTTCACACCGCCCATTGCCAGAAACTCGCCCGTTTCGTCCCATTCTCGAAAGGCCGAGTGACCGCTCGAGCTCGCTGAAGCAAGGCCTTGCGAAGCTTCCCGTCATTTTCTGATCTATGAAAGGCGAGGCGAGCACTGGCCCTTATCGCCGCCAGTCTTTGGAAGCGGGCGTCGTCGGAGACGTCATAGCTGACCCTGCCTCCACTATCAGGGTCAAGGACGTCCTCTATGGCGCGGCCTTCACGGCCAAATATCCACGCAGACGGGGAGTGGCCACAGCGCCTCCTCAGGCTGTTTTTTGCACTGCTCACAGCTGTCGCGGCCAACTGCACTTCATCCGCTGAAATTGAAAGCTCCCGGCTCACGCGGGTCCACATATGTTTCCACCACTTACCCTGTCTTTCGCCCACCCCCGATTGGAAGTGAGCTTGGGTCGCAGAATTGCGAATCTTCACGTTATGCCAACTGCATAACCTTGAAAAGCCGTCTTGCAAGCCTGTCTCCAGATCAAGTGAGACAGCATTGGGGGCGCCGAACGGCGTCACCCAGTACGTGTTGAAGGCCTGCTCGACTTCTTTGCCACTAGTGTTGCGGAGCTTGACGACCACGTGGTACGTCGTGCCAACATCGACCAGGGAAAGGAAAACGCGCTGCTTGTCCTCGCAGTCGTGGGCGTAGAGGATGTCAGCGGCAACCACCTCGCCAAAACTCAACATCCTAGGAAGTGACGATGGTCGGGCCACCTGAGGGTCACGGGTGGCATCGCAGATCTGGCACCGCATCCCTTTTGCTGCTTTCAAGACAGCCGGGTCACATCCAGAAAGTCGAAGATGACGTACTAGGTCTGGCACTCTGGGGTGTCCCAAATTCTGGTGCAACCTCTTTAGTGCGGACTGCACATGTCCAGGGACATCCTTCTCGAACGTGATACCGGAACCATCGATGCGGAGGGGTCTGTCTTCTGGCTTGTCTCCGTCCCCGCTCACAACCAAGACATGGTGAGGATCCAGATTTCCAGGAAGTTCGAGATACTTGCACCCAGGCCGGGCCAGAACTGCCCATCCTTGTCCCTCGTGGTTGTTGTCGTAGCGCAAGTAGAAGTCGAGGTCGTCCACGATCTCGCGAGGTCGTCCGCCTTGGAGGATCACTGCTCCCCCACCTTCCCGATCCAGTTGTGGATGAAGCGCTGGCCTTGTCGCTCAGGAGACTCCAAGACTCTCTGGCCGTCGAAGTGGACAAGGGGCTCGTTGACCTCCGCGTGGCCGCCGTAGAACTCGGATATGGTGGGGTGATCTCCTCGGACGCGTAGCCCTTCGTCTCCTGCTTCTTCTGTTTGTTGCTGTACCATCGTCCCAACCTCACCAACTCCGGGTCCGGGCTGTCTGCTTGGGCCAGCTCTCTCACTACCCACTCTCCGTAGCTTCTCGGGGTTTCGCAAAACTGCAGGCCCTTGAATTTCCCGATCTTCATGAGTTCTTGATCTGGGGTGTTGAGCGAGTCCCTTATCAGGCGAAGAAGATTGCCTTTTGTAGTGGCATTGCTGTACTCGATCTTGAGCTCGCTCGCCTTGATGCGCAACTCCGCCAGGTTCATATGTGACACCCTCTTCATCTGCTCGGTGGGGTCGAGGGACTTCTGCGCATCGCGGGCCTCCATGATGCAGGCCTTTATCTCTGTCACCCCCCAGGTGTGGTGAACGATCACCCCCATGCGGTTCGCCTCTTCCAGCAGCTGCGTCTTGCTCATGTGGTTGATGGGACGAGGCTTGCATGGCTCCTGTTCCATGCTCGCTGCGGGTGTAGAGGGAGCAGCTAGGGGCCCGGCGCTTGGCTATCCAAGTTCTTCCGACCCAATGGAATTCAAACGCGGGCTCATTGATTTTGCCATGCTCCCACCTATCAACAACAGTCTCGATCCACCTACCCGAAGTGCAACACACGCCGTCTGTAACCCTGATCTCTGCTGCAGTCTGAACAAGCATCTCCCTCTGGATTGTGGCTCGGGTCTTCCATGTTGCGGGGTTGAAGAGTACTTTGCGGGGTGTAACGTGGATCCTTATCCAAGCATGTTCACATTCTAGCCAGAAGTCCGAAGTAGTGGTACTGCTGCTCCACCATGTTATAAACTCTTCTTGGGACAACCTCTCCTGAACAAGCATCTCCTTGATACCGGGCTCTAGCTTCTTGTCGTAGAAGAAGTTATACAACTCATTGTCGCTAACATGTCCTGGACTGTGCTCAAGTGCAAACGCCGTGTATTCACTCTTTGGCACAAGCTTCAGATCCTCGGCCTGGAAATTGCCGGGGTCGCCGTCCATTTTGGTTGCGACAATGGGACTTGCCGGATGCCCGGACGAAGTAACAAGGAGGTCGAACCCTTTCAGCCCGACCTTGTTAAAATCAGCTTGCCCCTTTTCAATGTCGAAGACCATGCCGAGCTTGGCCAAGACAGTCTTGGAAAGGAGCAGCGGAACATCACCACTGATGATTGAGGTCCGCACCTGCACAATCTTGGAGCCCAACTCGAAAGCAAGGACCACGTAGAAGGAGGAGTAGTAGATCTTGCCAGTGCCGAACCTGTAGGCCTCGCACTCCTTCTTTAACTCAGGCTTTGCCCCCATTGCGGCAAGTCTATCCGAGTAGGCCTGCAACCATTGGGTACCAGCCACTGTGCGGGCACACGCCGTGTCCGTTATGCCGAGGAGGTTGGCGCTCTCAAGCTTGATGGAGAAGACCTCTGCCGGGAGGAGGTTGCAGTAGCCAATGTCCGCCGTCTTGCCGCTCGACTTGTCGCTGCCCTTCTGGTAGCCGGGTTGGTTGTGAGGACATTCTGCATCTTTATGCCAGTGGCCTCTTCTCCCGCATCCAGAACAGAACGACTTTGCCTTCATAAGCTTTATCTTTTCGTTAGCCTTCTCGTTGTTCTTGCCAGCGTGGTTGCCGTCGCCCTTGTTCTCGCCAAAGCCACCGTTGTAGCCGCGGTTCTTCTGGTGCTCCTTATACTTCTGCTTAGCAGTCTGGTAGGTCGCATAAGCCACGGCCACCTCTTCTGGCACTCCTCCATCGCCTTCCTCGACGTCGATGTCCTCCTCGCCGGACTCCAGGGAACCATCCGCCTCGGTGTAGTGGGCCGTATACGGCTTCCTCCCTTTGCCGGAGGTGTTCGACTCCCATGGTTTGCGATGCCCGCGATCGTGGATGACAGCTGCCTGTTGTAGTCGTGGAAGAGAGTAGGAGTTCCCAACGCTGGCCAGCAAGTTGAGCTCAGCTGCCTCTTCAAGTTGAAGCCGGTCGACGTAGAGCCAGGCGGCGCAATCCTCCGGGAGGTTACATCCAACTTCCCGTAGCCGAGCGTGAAGTCGATCGTACTCGCTGTTGTAGTCCCGAATGCTCTGCCCAGGCTTGCGTCTAAGCTTGCGGAAGAACTCAGAGAAGGCCTTGCCGATACGAGTCACCTCAAGGTGTAGATACCGGTTGGTGATCCACCGCACTAGATACTCGACCCCGGTCTCCTTGGCGAGGCTGTCCACGCTGAGCTCTTCAGCCGCAACCCACGCCTTGCCGGAGAGGTGCTGGTAGAGTACTAGCCCTTGCTGGTGTTCAGGAAGAAGTGTCATCCTTCTCCAGGCCTCAATCTGCCTGAGGTATGACCTGGCCGAAGTGCCAACGTCCTCTGTGTCCTCGCCGGAGAAGCCAGGAACAGTGAGCTTTTCGGAAGGCCGCCCAGCACTGGACTTCCGGCTCTCATCACTCCCGATGGAACCATGGTCGCTCCAGTCACCGTTGGTGAAGTGCTTCCATCCACTCCAGACTGTCGCCTTTTCTCGATGTCGCTCGGGTTGATCACGTTCTCGGCGGTGATCTGCTCGACCATCTGCCTCGGGACCTCGGTCGGCTCCTCGACGTTCTCCGCCCCGATGGACATCTCGCCGGCCGCCGCGCCAGTCACCCTGCTCGACCTGCTTCCTTTCCCATGCCACTGCCCAGGGGTCAGGACCCCAAGCTTCATCATCATCTTCGCCGCAGTCTTCGTCATCTTGGTTGCCGTCACGGTCATTCCATGACCACTGCCATCCTGACTGCCAGCTATGCCAGTCGTCTCGTTTCCATTGGCCTCCCCAATGGCTACTGTCTTCCCAGTGATGGTCCCAGTCGCCCCACGAAGCTGAGCTATCCCATCGCCCCGAAGTAGAGTTCGAGAAACCTCTTTTCTGCCCCCTACCTTCATCTTCTGCCTGCTCACGACTGTTGCTGGCCGAATCTTGACTACGTTCATCGACTGCACCGGAAACAGAAGCTGCTGCTTCGTCAGGATCCCCGGTAAGCACACTACCATCTCCACCATCGAAAGCTGCCATAGCGCTACCGGACTACGGCCAAACTAAGGTGCCTACCGGTAGCTCCGCTACCAATGAGAAACCCTAAGCTACAAACAGC